GCTTCACTGACGGACTGACTGACAGACTATTATTTATTTTGTATTTGTTGACGTTTCAAAAGTACCAAACTATGGTTTAAACTGTCAAACACCAAGCGGTCACCGGTGACCGCAACCTATTGTTCTATAATTGTGTCTATAATGACGGTACTCGACGAGTTAATTGAAATAAATGTTTTGACTTTGACTTTGCCTTTGAGTATTGATCATCGTTAATGCTCGAGCAATAAAAAATCAATGAAAACGTATCAACCGATGACGTCACAAAAATCCTACATCGCACATGTAAAACTTACATGCGAATTAACACGGATGAAAAATCCCAACGAGTAACTGTTGGGCAGAAAGCCCGCCAGGCATGATCACCTCGCCTGGACTGACGACAGAGGAAATTTATAATGTTAACAATGAAGATTTTTATTGCTCCCGTAAGTTAATGTAAACCTAGTCATTTAGTTACTTCAATGTTATTATAGTTTAATTGAGTATACGGCTGATGGAGTAAATTTTCAACACAAATAATAGTTTTATTAAAACTTGATGTTAATATTAATTTAGTTGTAATTAGGTGTATTATGTTCCATAATGTAGACAGGGAAGATTATTGTCTGTAAACACACTAGATTAAGAACATACTATAAAAATTTCGTATGTCTGTACAGACACAATGTAGCGAACTAATATAATATTATCTATCATCTATTGTAACATACCTACATTGACCAAATAAACAATATTTGTATTTGTATCTGGTCGGAGGATCCTCCTTTTCCGATCTTAGGGAACTATACTCTCTATTCCCTAAACGTCAACCCGACCAACGAGGCAGTATTAAAGACGTACCATGTTACCCTGCAGGGTACCCGCAGCGAAGAACACATAAATCAGTAACTTAGCGCTTAACTTTACATCGGTATTCACTTAACTTAAATATGTCTTGGATTAAGTACTGTTTCAAGTGTGGGAGTGTCTTGCTTCGGCACGAATGGGCCGGCTCGACCGGAGTGACACCACGGTCGAGCAGAAAACCGACGTGAAACAACGCTTGCGTTGTTTTCAGCGTGTGAGTGAGGTTATCGGATGCCCAATTATCCCTCTCCCCAATGGCCCTAATCCTCGAATCCCTAATAATCCTCAAATTTCTAATTCTCGAAAGGCCAGTAATGCAATTGTAACGCCTCTGGTGTTCCAGGTGTCGATGGGCGACGCCGATTGCTTACCATCAGGTGATCCGTCTGCTCGTTTACTGGCTTATGCCATAAAAAAATGTGAAAGATTGTTTGCATGTCTGGATGTTTGTCCGTCAATCACGCTGAAACTACTGAACGGATTTTGATGTGAAACAAGTGAAACAAGTGATGGTGATGGTGATGGAATTTGGTTCACAGGCAGGATATGAGTTATCTTAGATGATAGAATTTTATCCCGATTAAACGCTCTCATGGGATAAAACAGTAATCATATTCTACGCGGACAAAGTCGCGGGCAACAGCTAGTGCCTAACCATTAAACTGTCAAACACCAAGCGGTCACCGGTGACCGCAACCTATTGTTCTATAATTGTGTCTGCAAAACCGGTACTCGACGAGTTAAATTCAAAAACACTTTACCCACCCCGCGAATCGAACCTAACATCTAACTCGACCAAAGACGCCATATTTCTTTCTTTAAGTCATCTTCACAATCTCTTGGTAACTTATAACCACTTACAGGGTGTGTATTTGAACATTTATATCTTGGTAACACGCTGTATATATGCGGGGCACGTAATTCCCGGCACTATAAAGGGTGGTTATGCACCTGTGTGACGTAGTAGTAAGGGTGATACTTTTTTGGTGGTATTGTTGTTTTTTTATTAAAAAATTGTTTCATTGTTTGAAGTTATTTTTATTTATTTATTTGTTTATATCATTTTACTTAGCTAAGACAAACATTTTTTTTATGGCATAAGCCGGTAAACGAGCATACGGATCACCTGATGGAAAGCAATTGGCGTCGCCCATGTACACCTGGTACACAAGAGGCGTTACAAGTGCGTTACCGGCCTTATGGGGAATAGGAGTTTGAGGATCGTTGGGGATTCAGGAATTGGGGAGATTGAGGAAGGGGAGGGTAATTGGGCCTCCGGTAACCTCACTCACACGACGAAACACAACGCAAGCGTTGCTTCACGTCGGTTTTCTGTGAGGCCGTGGTATCACTCCAGTCGAGCCGGCCCATTCGTGCCGAAGCATAGCTCTCCCACACTTAAAAATTACAAATATAACAAAAACACACAACAAGAATTTTATTTAAAGATAAATTTAGGTACTTAAATACATATTTTAATTTTGCGGGCCAACTCCAACAGTGTCCTGGGCATGATTTCGAAAAGGCTAGACTGCATATACCTAGGACGATGTAATTCCCATGGATTAGAGTGGGACATAGAATACAAGAGAAAACAAAATTTAACAACAAACAACATAACATCAATCCTTTTATTCCGGAAGGGGTAGGCAGAGGTGAACATTATGCCACTTTACAATGTAACACCCACTTTTCACTATTTATGTTATGAGTCCCATGTAATAGGGGGTGAGCCTATTGCCATATACCGGGCACATTTACAGATTCCGTGCTACTACTGAGATTTTTTTTATAAAACCCAGTAATACTCAAAGAAAATGATGCCTTAATTCACTGTTAACTTTTGTGAAGAAGAAATAAATAAATAAAATAGTTTGGCCGTACCGGGAATAGAACCCCAGACTACTTGCCCGGCAGTCACTAGCGACCACTCGACGAACGAGGCAGTCAAAATGTAGTTTATATTATTATTATAAATCGGAAAGTGAGTTTGTTTGTTTGTTTATTTGTTTGTAAACCGATTGCTTTGAATTTTTGCAGACGTAAAGTTAGAAGTCTGGATTAAATAATAGGGACTTTTTATCCCGGAAAAAAATGATATTCTCGAGGAAAAACGAAATTATTGGTATAGATAGCGCTGTGTGTATTGGTATATGTCACATAGGCTACTTCTTATCTTTCATAGGCTACTCTCTCTCTCTCTTATCCTTTTGTGACGCGAGCGAAGCCGCGGATAAAAGCTAGTATAAAATATATCGCAATATATATTGACATTGCTTGTGTGACATTCTATAATATAATTGACATTTACTTTTTTACAATATATATCTAATTTGACATTAATTTTTTGACTTCAGTGGTATGAATAATTATAGTTTCTTTGACATTATTGTATTTCTAACAACATTACAAATAATTCAATTCAATGGACCTAATTTTATTATGTAATTATTTTTATAACATATTTTGCATGCCAAGTTAAGGCAAAATATGGAGAAACTATAAACTTTGTTAACACCTATATATTATGTACCCATGTTTGCAAATGATTAAATGAATATGAATATGAATATTTACAAATATCGCAACATCCTGTATACAGCGGTGTAGGACTACAATTCTAAAGACGTTTTATACGGCACTTTATTGCGAATACGTGCGGGAAGTCGCGCATATCACGCTAGCTGCTTTGTGGGACCAGTAGATATGTAGGTATTTTTTTTTTAAGCGGGGAATAATCATCGAATGACTGCTCCCGCCTGGGTTTAGTGTCTGACTCTTACTGACTAAAAACCACCCCTTTCCTTTTCCTGCACGTCGAGCCGGAGCCCCGGTTACCCGTTAGGTTCTCCGCGACAGATATGTAGGTATTTTTTTTTTTTTTAAGGGGGGAATAATCGTCGAATGACTGCTCCCGCCTGGGTGAGGCGGGAGGGAGTGTCAGACTCTTACTGACTAAAAACCACCCCGTTCCTTCTCCTGCACGTCGAGTCGGAGCCCCGGTAACACGTTAGGTTCTCCGCGACAGATATGTAAGTATACCATTTTTGTAGCACCAATGAAGGTTTTTCATTTTTCTAAATTACTAACAATCCGCCCCAGCTTCCCTCAGGTGATATTTCCCAATGTTTGAGGCAAATATTGTTGATATTTCTTCCATATAAACTTTGTCTTAATAACAATCGCGAAAATAAACAATATTCCATTTTGGTCGAGTAGTTCGGGAGTTATACGCGTATTATTATACATTTTGTCGACAATAACATATTATATTATTATATAGGTAACTAGCGACCCGCCTCGGCTTCGCACGGGTTCAATATTCATGTATTATACATAAAAACCTTTCTTAAGAATCATTCTATCTATTAAAAAAAAACTACATCAAAATCCGTGGCGTAGTTTTAAAGATCTAAGCATACATAAGGACCGGCAGACGGTGGATAGCGACTTTGTTTTATACTATGTATTGATAATGTCAAACAGAGAAATCCATAAACGCTACAATTGTAAGTCGACAGTCGTTTACATTTATGTCATTATTAATTCTTTTCCTGGTATTTTCAATATAAATTCTATGCTAAATTGTACAGTCTGTGTGGGAGAGACATGCTTCGGCACGAATGGGTCGGCTCGACCGTAGTGATACCACGGCCTCACAGAAAACCGACGTGAAGCAACGCTTGCGTGGTGTTTCGTAGAGTGAGTGAGGTTACCGTAGGCCCAATTACCCTCCCCTTCCCCAATCTCCCCAATTCCTGAATCCCCAACGATCCTAAAAACTCCTAATCCCCAATAGGCCGGTAACGCACTTGTAACGCCTCTGGTGGTCCAGGTGTCCATGGGCTACGCCGATTGCTTACCATCAGGTGATTCGTCTGCTCGTTTGCCGGCTTATGCCCTAAAATCATAGATTGATAGGGATTCTGCTTGCCACCTTGAAGTGTCTGGGTGTAGCTTAGGGATATATTCAGTCGCGGAGAATCTGACGGGTAACCGGGGCTCCGGCTCGACGTGCAGGAGAAGGAACGGGGTGGTTTTTAGTCAGTAAGAGTCTGACACTCCCACCCGCCTCACTCAGGCGGGAGCAGTCATTCGATGATTTTCCCCCCTTAAAAAAAGGCATATCCAGGTAAAATTAAAACAGAAAAAAGTCATGAACATTTTTAATAACAAAAAAACATTTTAATTATATATGTAACAGCATTTTAAAGAAAGAAAGAGACTAGGTGTGTTGTGTTGTTCGCTGGAAATATTTTTACAGTAACTGAAACTATGTTTTCAGATTTATCCTCGAGAGTACGGGTGCAAAGCGTTGGTAGTCAGATGGTAGATACCGGTGTTTCTGAAACAAACGAAAAAAAAAAACAAATCATGAATTGGGATGATGACAGGGTATGAAAATTAAAAGCATAATTAGTCCGTAAGTTAGGTAATGAAAAAAATATTAGACACGTATTTTTTATTTTGTCGTATAACAAAACAATACTAAGATAAAACGAATCAAAGTTTAGGAGTGGGAGCTAAAACGTCATTTCTACGTATAAAATGTACATAGAAGTGACGTCACGCGACATTTCAAATCACTATATCGCCGAAAGTATTCGTTTCTGTAAGAAAATAAAAAATACGTGTCTAATGATTTAAAATAATCTACCAGACGGACATTAAAATGAAAATTAGGCATCTACCCGATTTCAGTTCTTACATTGGAAAGAAGCGAATTAAGACAGCAATGCATTTGTCTCCTCTATGTTCATGGGCGGCGCTGATTGGTTACCATCAGGTGATTTGACTTTTTTATACTAGATGAGCCGACGGTTGACCACTACCTCACCTGGTGGTAAGCGATGATGCGGTCTACGATGGAGCACGTCGTCCCATAAGTAACCTATTCACTCGGGCCTTGAAGACACCCAGATTATACCCTGATTGCTCGGTTCCCCCCTCGTGCCCAGATTTCGTTATTATCTCTACAAGAATTTTTTTGAGCATTAATCTCCACGTTTGCTCAATGCGGGTTGGTGATTTCAAACTTATAATTAGAAATTAGCTCAGGTTTCCTCACGATGTTTTCCTTCACCGTTTGTCAGTGGTATCTAAATGATCTTAGAAAGTACATATAACTCGGAATAAGTCACATTGGTACCTGCTGTTGGTAGGTTTCGAATCATATATACTCTATTGTAGACCGCATCATCGCTTACCACCAGGCGAGATAGTGGTCAAACGTCGCCCCATCAAATATATATATAAGAAAGAATTAAACACATTATCAATATCATTTGATCATTTAAAAAAAAAACACTCTTACCCGTTCTTGGGTCGGACTCCACCCATCCTCAGAGTAGATCCAGAGCAGTTGCCGACGAGGGCAGCGTTCAGGTTGTCACAGCGTCTTCCAGTGAAGCCTCCGGTACGGAGAGACTCGGCCATGTAGTAGTAGGACCTGTAAAATAATAGTGAGTTATTATCATACAATTATGATAGTACTAGCTGTTGCCTGCGACTTCGCCCGTGTAGAATAGAACTTCTAGCAGAATTTAGGCTTTTCAATTAGTCTTTGTCAAGGGATATTCTACGGTAACGTATGTCGTCAGAATTGATTCAGCACCTAGTTTAGGGTTCCTCCCCCGTAGATGATAACGTAATAATATATAGCCTATATGTTGACCCGACTTGTTAGTAATATTCATGCAATATTTAAAGTAAATCTATGCAGCAATTTTTGAGTTCATCCCGGACATACATACAGACAAACGAGTTTCAATATTGATGAAGATCACGTAGACACGGCTACACATCGAGCTTTACATAACCAGTATAAACTGAACGTCAAATGTGCGGAAAGATGATGCGACGCATAAACTGGTTTTGTATAGATTGATGTGTAGCCGTCTGTACAAAGCATTCTTTTAAAAAATATTCGATGTACAGTTTTTAATTTCCTGCCATTTTATTATGTATAGCGGCCCGTCCCGGCTTCGCACGGGGGACTTAAGATTTTTTACATAGTTTTACGTTTTATTTATATTTATTCTCAGTTTATTATTTTTGAAATAGTAGGTAAGTACTTACCTAATAGGTATCTTTTGGATGAATTAATAGTCTTAAGGTAACCGATTGAACAATTCAAAAGTTATCTAGAGCAAACTTTTATAAGGATTGAACCATTCATTAAAACGATTGTTATGGGTAAACTATAAAAGGTAGACATATGCTCTCGCGGACTTTTTTAAAAATAATGTTAAGATGAACAATTCATCTATAGAGCATTTTTGTATAACTTTAACTATATGCTCAGCGCACGCCACGGAAGGCCTCAGAAACGATACTTTTCCCCCGTTTTTAAAACATTTTTGGTTACTGCTCCACAACTATAGGACCTAGCGTGATATTATATAGCCTATGTTACTTCTGAATAATGCAGCTTTCTAATGGTGAAAAAATTATTGCAATCGGTCCAGTAGTTTTTGAGTTTATTCATTACAAACATACAAAAATACAAAAATACAAATCTTTCCTCTTTATAATATTATTATAGTATAGATAGATAGATAGATAAATACCAGCTAAAGTAATGAGTTCTTTTATATAGTTCTTCTAAGTTAAATCCTGCAATCGTAAAATCCTCAACAGGTCAGCAACGCGTCCATGGAGATGCCCACTGCTTACCACTAATCTATCTCGTATACCATAAAAAGCCGACTGGAAAAGCTAAAAGGGATTATAGTTTACCTGTAATGATGGCATAGAGAAGTCATACATCCAGGCATCTGGCGACCTCCGTTAGGGTAGAAGTCGACCTGAGCGAGAGGGTTCAGCCAGCCACTGTCTCCTCCATTGGTGTGCATAACTTCAGTGTAAAGTCCGTCATTGGGCCTGAACAGCCAGGCGGTGTCCCAACGGTCGGCGGGGTCCAAACCTGAGGAAGAAGATAGTGTCAAGTAAGGAGCTGAAAATCAATACCAATATTTATAAGTAGACGAGTCATATTTCATCTAAATTGGCTATGATCGACAATAGTGATACCAGTGTTGTGTTATTGTGTTTCAGCGTTCCAGTGAAATTATGGACTCTGCACAGCAGCGCTCTCTGATTAATCCGAACATTTAAAACTGATCTGTAAGCCGATGATAAGCGAGGTGATTATAGCAAATCCTCTCATACAGAAGAGATCCATAGTCTAGCTCCAAATGCATTTCAGTAATAGTAGTGTGCGGGGGAATAGCACAAATTTATTTTCGCTAGTCTATCATCGTACCACAAGACAATCGGTGAATCATCTCCGATTCATGGTAGATGTCCCACCCACACGCATGAAGCGCTTCGCATCAAGCTTCCTCGTTCGTACTGTTAAAGAGTAGAATTCTTTGCCAGATTCTGTATTTCCTGAAGGGGTCTTCAAGGACCGAGTGTATAGGTTGCTTATGGTCGGACATAATCCATTAATCCATCGCAGGCTACATCATCGCTCACCACCAGGCGAGATAGTGGTCTAATGTCGGCCCATCGAATATACATTATAAAAAAAAAGTTGACTGTGACCAAGTTCAAGATCGTACTTAGTTTTTTTTTTATATTTGGTGGGCGGACGTTTGACCAGTATCTCGCCTGTTGGTGAGCAATGATGTAGCCTGCGATGGAGCACGTCGTCCCATAAGCAACCTATTCCCTAACCTATATAATTTTAAAAGGTCCAGTGATTCTATGCCTAGTGTCTATCAAACCTGTCGTCCCATACACGTGGTGATGGTGATGGTGATGGTGAATGCAATTTATCTGCTCTGCAATGTATAACTTACCAGTGACGTAACCGACATTGCCGTTGATGGTTCTAGCGATGATACCAGCTCCATGACCGCCCACACTGTAGCCGATCACGTGGTAGTTGTTGGCGGTGGCACCAGTGATGGAGTTAAGCCAGTTGATGAATCTACCGGCGGCTTGACCTGGTAACAGATAGGACATGAAGGGACTGCCTTAAGAATGTAAGGAAGTTTAATTTAAACTTTGCTCTATAGTAGGATTTTCTCCTGTGTCGTGGGTGCGTTTACAAACATACAAGTTCATGTACACATGACATCCAGACCCGGAACTACAATTTCTGGATCACACAAAGAGTTGTTCCGTGCGGGAATCGATCCCGCGATATGTTGCGCGGCAGCCAGTTGCCCAGCCACCGCACCATCCCAGAATGAGTAGGCAAAGGTGCATATCACAGCACTTAATGCCACTGTACAATGTAACACTAACTATTCACTATTTATGTTACGAGTCCCACGTAATAGGGGGTGAGCCTATTGCCATTTACCGGGCACAATTCCAGACTCCCGTGTTATTACTGAGATTTTTTCGAAAACTCAGTAATACTTTGTCTGGCCAGAGAATTCAACCCGAGACCATTTGCTCGGCAATCGCAGTTGCGACCACTCGTCCAACGAGGCAGTTGTGACGAAATGAGGAGTTTCTTACTCCTTCTTCTCCATAGGAATCTACACCTTGGAACGAGCAAATAAACTATTTTAAGCTCTTTTCTTTTGCTTCAATTTAGTCAAAGTCAAAGCATTTATTTCAATTGGGTAATCGATAAGAAACGTCAACAATTGAATTCTCCGTCCGTCCGTCTGTCAGTGAAGCTAGGCGCTCGTTCCAAAGCGTAGTTTCGAATGGAGAAGAACGAGAAAGAATCTCCATCGTTACTCTTTAAAAAAATGATTTTCTCAGTCTCATTGATACATTATCGGATCCTTGAGTTAAAGATATGTTTGAGAAACTTTAGAAGGTTTCAAGTATAATCAATAAGATGTTTAGTAAAAAAATGGTTGCCTGTAAAGTCGTTTTTACGGGCGAAGATTTTACGTGACAACGTCTTTTTCTCGGTAGAATATTTATTGATATGAATATAATTAAATTGCACAATAGGAACAAGGAATTGAATGAACTAGTGCTGCGCGCGCGGCAGACCGATCATAGTTGAGTGGGAGAGAGACGCAAGGCATTCGGCGGACCTCTCTCTCGTTCGGTGACTCATCGTAACGTTACCGAGCGTTACACTTTTTCATAAGTGACTCCCAGCCGCAACCTAATTTAAGACGTTGTCACGTCAAAAACTTACCTGCTTGGATGGCACGGGGTCCCCAGGAAGATCCGGCACTCCAGTCCAGGATGATGACGTTGACATCTTCAGCAGCCAAGAAGGCTGTGACAGAGATACCAAGTATTAAGTATTTATCAACATTAACATCATTTTGAAAGGATAACAGAAACAATTGGGTTCTTGCCTTAATCAAAAATAAATTATTTCGACTATTCAATACTATAAAATACATACATACATAATATCACTTTAGCCTTTTATCCCCGAAGGGGTAGGCAGAGGTGCACATTATGCCACTGTACAATGTAACACCCACTTTTCACTATTTATGTCATGAGTCCCATGTAATAGGGGGTGAGCCTATTGCCATATACCGGGCACAATTCCAGACTCCGTGCTACTACTGAGAATTTTGTAAAAACCCAGTAATACTTTGCCCGACCCGGGAATCGAACCCGAGACCCCTTGACCGGCAGTCGCACTTGCGACCACTCGGCCAACGAGGCAGTACTATAAAATATAAAAAAATAATCACACTTTCATTAATTGATTTTACGACCAACTTCAATTTAGTATTAATCGAGCAAATTTTTAAGAAATGAGTATACCGTTTGATGTTAAAGAAACGTGACGTCACAATACACAATCTCGTACAAAATTCATAGAAAATTGTCGTTTTTGACAGTTCGATAAAAGTATTGAATTTGACTAGTTGGCGAGTACCCAATTGGGATGATGACAGGGTATGAAAATTAAAAATGTAATTAGTCCGTAAGTTAGGTAATGAAAAAATATTAGACACGTATTTTTTATTTTGTCGTATAATAAAACAATACTTAGATTAAACGAATCAAAGTTTAGGAGTGGGGGCTAAAACGTCATTCCTACCTATAAAATGTACATAGAAGTGACGTCACACGACATTTCAAATCAATATATCGTCGAAAGTGTTCGTTTCTGTAAGAAAATAAAAAATACGTGTGTAATGATTTGAAATAATCTACCAGACGGACATTGAAATAAAAATTAGGCATCTACCCTATTGAAAGTAAAGAAATTGATAGATATAAAATATGCTCTCGTAAGTCGACACCACAACTGCGCTTTTGCATGGTCTCGCAAATGTCGAAATCAAGTTATATATCTGAGTCCGTCAGAGTATTATTGGATTTTTCGAGTTTAGATATATTCTCTGCAAGAATACAGTTTGGCATAACATTCGGTATTTGCCAATAATTTCAATTCTTACAATCTTAAGTATAATGCGCTTATCACACACTCGACGAGTGGTATGGGAAGTAACGAGGAAAGGAGGCAGAGACGTAGTGTGGTAACATTACTTGTCATGCCACACATCATGCTCCTCATCATGCCCACTGCTCTCTATACCGTCGGTTTTTGCGCGCGAGTCAAAGGACCAGCAACACGAGGAGGCAACGAGGACCGGCAATACGGCGTCTCGATTTTTTTAATGGAATAGGAGGCAAACGAACAGACGGATCACCTGATGGTAAGCGATCAGCGCCGACCATAGACACCCGCAACACCAAAGGAATCACAGATGCGTTGCCGGCCTTTTAAAAAGGAGTACGCTTTTTCTTGAAGGTTTGAAGGTCGTATTGGTTCGGAAATACCGCCGATGACAGATCATTCCACAGTTTTGCTGTGCGAGGCAGAAAGCATCGTGAGAAGCGCACAGTTGTGGCCTGCCAAACATCTATATGATGGGGATGCATATGCTGTTGCGAGGGTCGATGGCGAAAAGATGCGGCAGGTATCAGGTCACGATTGATTAGCGAGAGTAGAGTAATGTGTGGGAGATAGGGCAAAGTCGCGGCAAATCACAGCAGGGCAAGGAGGCATAGTGATGAGCAGCATAAGGAATAAATGAAGTATTCTTTTACCTGGCAGAAGCACAGTGTTGAACCCAGAAGTGATGGATCCAGCGAACCCGTGCATCATCACGACGGTGCGGCGACGAGCGTTGAAGTTCGAGTTGTGGACGGTGGCAGCATTGTTCAGGACCAGAGGCTGACTGATTGAGGGGTTAGCCCTGGAAGTATTCAAGGTTAAGGTTCAATAATCTGTGAGTTTTTTTAAGGGGGGAAAATCATTAAATGCAGCGGAGACGGGAGGGAGTGTCAGACTCTTATTGACTAAAAACCACCCCGTTCTTTCTCATGCACTTCGAGGCCAGAGCCCCGGCAACCCGTTAGGTTCTCCGTGGGACAATCTGTGAATAGATTTGGATTAAAGACTTCTTCTTAGGTAGAGAAGGAATGTAGCAAATATGTTGGATGCTACGTGAATTTAAATTGAATGCGTTAGATTTTGGTTGCTTTTCATATATTCTAGCGAATCGCACTTCGTCTGCAGCCATTGTCCTATATAGGATCTTCATGCATTAGCGATACTTTGACTAATTTAATAAATTAAGTATGTTCGATGTAAGAAAATGACTGCCTCGTTGTCCGAGTGGTCGCAAGTGCGACTACAGGGCAAGGGGTCTCGGGTTCGATTACCGATACTGGGTTTTTAAAAAATTCTCAGTAGTAGCACGGAGTCGGCGGCAGGTCGATAGACCCGGTATATGGCAATAGGCTCACCCCCTATTACATAGGACTCATAACATAAATAGTGAAAAGTTGGTGTTAAAAGGTGTGCAGTGGCATAATGTACACCTCTTCCTACCCATATTCAACAATAATATATAATAAGAAATATTCAACATACCTGGTGAAAAGATGGTATCTGTTGGAAGCATCGGGGTTGTATCTAGCGAGCCTGTCGAAGTCGCTGACTTTCATCCAGTTATCCACAAGGTGGACTTTGCCGGCGTCGTCTTCCAAGTAATCATAGCGAAGACCTTCAGACCATTTTCCTATGACGGGGTCGTTGGCAGGGTAAGCTGAGAACAAAAAAAAAAATTAATATTATTTTTTTGATCGACTTCAAAAAGGAAGGTTCTCTCAAGGTCTGACCTGTATGTATCTTCGTGTGCAATTATCTCGCAATTGGCTGAACCGATTTCAATGCGGTTCACCTGATGGTAAGCAATCGGCGTCGTCCATGGACACACGGAACACCAGAGGTGTTAAAATTACGTAACCGACCTTTTTGGGGATTAGGAATTTGAGGATTGTTGGGGATTTAAGGATTGACTACGGTTGGGGGATAATTGGGCCTCCGGTAACCTCACTCACACGACGAAACACAACGCAAGCTTTGTTTTACTATAGTTTTCTGCTCGGCCGTGGTATAACACCGGTCGAGCCGGCCCATTCGTGCCGAAGCACTCCGTGGCTCTCCCACCCTTGAGACTTAACGGATGACAGAAGATTCTCAGTTCATGGTAGTATCCATTTTTAAACGACTTCAAAAAAAAGGAGAAGGTTCTCAATTAGACCGTACCTATATTCTTTTTTATGTTTGTTCGCCGATATCTCCGTTATTTATGAACCGATTTTGATAATTCTTTTTTTGTTGGAATGGAGATAGTCTCAGAATGGTCCCATAATAAGGAAATTAGGATCTGATGATGGAAAACTAGAGAAACAGAGGGGAACTTTTAAAAGTTATAGAGGTGACTAGTGCATTTGTATATTTTTATTTTTACAATAAGTATTTAAAACCACTACACTACAATTTGATAACGGTCTGGAGTCTGATGCACCGACTTCACACCTATCAGTGGGTGTAAGCTATAAGTACGTATGACCAATAATAGTTATTATTTCCTTTTTAGTTTTTATTTTTCGTTTTTCATTTATAACGCAGCTGCCAAGGGATTAGCTAATCAGTAGCCAGCAAAACAAATGAAATATTTCTAAAACAGATTTCCTTGAAACACTGCTAATATATAATGATAAAATTAATACATCATTAAATATAATCTCTAATACTGATTTATCGTGATAACACTACACGCGATTACCTTCGCGTGGCACTTTTGAAATCGTTAAAATGGACGTTCTATGTTTGACTTTAGTACGAGTTTGATTAACGTTCAAAGTATTCGAAACGAGTACGCGTTCGGCACTCTGATTGGCCGGCGCCAATGAACCAACCAATCAGAGCGCTGAACGCATACTCATTACGATTACTTTAATTAAACGTAATACAAACTCGTACAGAGGCCTTAGTACGAGTTTGATTTACGTTTAAAGTATTCGACATTTTGGAACGAGCGCCTAGCTTCACTGACGGACAGACTGACACTATTATATATTTCATATTTGTTGACGTTTCAAAAGTACCAAATTATGGTTTAATTGAAATAAATGCTTTTGAGTTTGAGTTTGAGTTTGAAACAAGTACGCGTTCGGCACTCTGATTGGCTGAACCGATATTGTTGTGGTTTGCAGAAAAGTGTTTAATAAATAAATGAAGAAGAAGAAATAAATACCATTTATTTCTGCGCAGAACACACATAACATACTACCTCTTATATTTTATGTAGGTATATATGTATATATATATGAATATTATAGTTATATAGTTATGTATTCTTCAATATATATTAAGTTATGTTGTAGTATATATATATTGTGTATATTGTAGAATTATGTATGTGTTCTTTCAAATAGTTAAATTCAACGCATGTTTTGCACCCGCTGATTACTTTCTCTGCATCACCCAAGGGTCAGACTGGTAGAAAATGCCTGCGGCATTAAGTCCACCCATGTGCTTGTTTGTGTGCATAAAGCTTTTTAAATAAAATAAATAAATAACATAATAAAATCATCTTTCTTTATTGAAACAAAGAGTTTCCTTTTTCTTGTATAGAAGCACTATTTTTATAGATTGTCAGTATGCATATGTGAGCACCATGTTAAACTATAAGATTGTTTTCTGTTTTTATTATTTTAGTATGGTTTGTAATTAGTACCTATAATGCGTCAAGCGTGTCTTTGCATTGTTCTTACGTATGCGTACAGTATTGGAATATGTATCAGAGACATTGTAGAACATACTTTTTTTAAAAGAGTAACGAATGAAGTTTCTTGCTCGTTCTTCTCCATTCGAATCTACGTTTTGTAATAAGCACCTAGCTTCACTGACGGACTGACTGACAGACTATTATTTATTTTGTATTTGTTGACGTTTCAAAAGTACCAAATTATGGTTTAATTGAAATAAATGCTTTGACTATGACTTTGACTTTGACTTTGAAAAAATAAAATATAATTCTAAAGAAAAATAAAAAATTAAATCCTGTCTATGGTCCACAGACCTGAAATGATAGACTACAATATCTATTATTATCTGTGGACCTAAAATGACTTTAAAATGTTGAAGACGCCTACTTCTCATGCACGAGGGTGCGGGTTCGAAAACTACCAACGGCAAGTACCAATGTGACTTTTTCCGAGTTATATGTACTTTCTAAGATTATTTAGACACCACTGACAAACGGTGAAGGAAAACATCGTG